AGATAGATAGATAGATAGATAGATAGATAGATAGATAGATAGATAGATAGATAGATAGATAGATAGATAGATAGATAGATAGATAGATATTTCTAAATACTGGCCTAAGAATAATGTAAATATTTCCAACCGTATGGTTATGGTGATTGGGGATGGATAAAGAACCCATAAGAGCAGGGGCCTCAAAAGTGGGTCCATTGCTCTCACCAAAAAAACACTGGTCTTTATTCAAACCTTTGTATCCCTCTGATGAAGGACACAAGTTTAGAGACAGTCAGTGTTCTGAGCTTCTTGGGATCCATAAAGAAGACCCCAAAAATTATTTTCCTTTGACTACTCGGAGTCAGGCAGTGGCCTAAGTAGTGCAAAGAGGTCTCTAGTTCAATTCACAGACCATTGACATGGAGTCCCATCACTGTTTTGTGGAGATTGAGCAGATTGTGCCCAGTTAGGACTCCAACCAGTGTACTTAAAGTGTTCCTTGTCAGGACAATGAGAGCTTTCCCAAACCTTAGATTTGGGCCGTTTATCAATTCCCATGCCTGTCTACAGTCCATCAGCTACCTCCAGTGGATTGAGTGTTGACGTCTAAACCAGGCCTGTAGGGCAGTCCTAAAGACTGTTAAGATTCCAACAACAGGCTCTGGTTCTTTGAAGTCGGCCTGACTGCCAGCTTTTTCAAGGTAGTCTCTCATTACCATAAATGCCAGTATGTCCTGGCACCCATTTAAGATACAGTATGTAAATCTAGTGGAGTCAGGACCAGTAGGACTTCCATGGCTATCATGGGTGTTGTTCTGATGGAACCTGTGATGCTCATACAGGCCATTTGTTGCACATGGGTGAGCATCACTCTTGCCACCTCAATTTGGACTCAAACCCACCACACTAAAGCAGCATAGCATAGCATGGGGTGGACTATGGCCGTGTAGATCCATCTGATAACCTTTGGGGTAGCACCCCAACGACTACCTGCAATTCTATGGCACTGATGTGGGCGCATTGCTGCCTTCTTACACTTTTCATTTACATGTCTTTTCCAGTTAAGCTTCCTGTCTAGATAGACACCCAATAATTTAACTGACTCTGACAGGGAGAGTTCTACACCCTCCAGTTTTGAAGTTGAGTGCCCTTTCCTTGACTTTTTATGAGTGAAAAGAGACAATTCTGTCTTATTTGGATTGACAGAAAGTTCCTTCTCCTGGCACCATCTGGATACTATGTTTAATCCCCTCTGCATTAGGTTACATACAGTACCCAGGCAGAAGCCTCCTATAAGCATGGCCAAGTCATCTGCATACCTTTGTGTACGTAGTCTAGATCCATTCAACTCATTTAGTAAGCTGTCAACAACCAGGAGCCAGCACAGGGGTGAGATTACTCCTCCTTATGGACAGCCCCATCTGAGGTTAATGGTTCTCGAACAGCCCCCAGAGCTGAAGGTGCTTTCCATCCATAACTGACAGCAACTAAAACAACCATCATCATGCTATATATTGAAACAACTTTAGTAAAACATTGGCGCTCTGCTTGTGACTTTAGAGATTCTTAACCCATGGGCTGTGGCCACGAGCGCCACATTGAGGGCCTCAAAAGAAGAACAGTTTTTAACTTTGGGCCGCAGAGGGCCGTGATTTTGAATAAGTTGCAATACACTTTCTCACCACTAGTAGCGGTAGTGCGCCACTCAGATGTTTAACAACGTTTTTAATTATGTAGAAGAAGAACCTTTATAAACCTGCTAACAATGGAAACCTATTTTAAATGAAAAGTAGAAGGCAAAAATGAAAGTAACTTGTCAAAAAACACTAAAGTTTGTCACTAATAGCGCAGCTTCTGCTTTTACCATACAATATTTTAAAAGCTCAAAACATGATCAAATACAGTTGCAGATACAACTATATTTTAATTTGCACTTTAAATTAACTTTTGTAGTTTATTTTTAAACATTTTGAATGTATTTTAAAGAAATTTTAAACTTGTCAAAAAGCTGTTGTTACTGTTATTGTTTGTCACTAATATGAAGAGCAGCTGGTTGCATAAGTTCAAAAA